CTGCATGCTTGTTTAAAGATGAAACTCTCCTCTTGTTTTTTAACTACTGTCAGACAATTTCCACATCTGTCCAAATGAAAGATTCTCTACGACAATGATTTAAGCATAATAGCCAACCGATTAAGAAGCAATTGCTGTAATTTCTGGCAGTTGTAGTCGGTTGCAAGCTCTTTTACTTCATGGCAGCCAGTCAGCTTCACATGATTGGCTGGCCTGCCTGAGCGAAGTGAAGCCCATGGGATGGCCTGGGATGTGTTAGAGGCCACTGAAGGCCTTAGGCTATCCTCAGAGGAACTGAACAGGTTGTCTGGGAAGAGAGAGGTCTAGGTGTCTCTGTGTAGAGACAGAGTGGAAGTACTTGAAAATTGGTGTTTTAATGCACTCTTCAGACAGTCTAACAGAGTATGACTTATGTAGCAAACAATAGGCAGACGTTTTGGAATGTTGAGGTACAAAGCTGGCTAAGCCATAAATTGCAGCTTTAATGGCAGCTCAAAATCTGCAAGCACTGATTCATAAAATGAATGTCGCAAGTGAATGTTTTTATATAAAGAAAGATGTTCAGTACTTTGTGGTACACGTTTTAATTAAATAGATTACGATTTTTATTAAATTAATAAAATGTGAAAGGCTGTGAAAGGCTAATATTTTAGGCTTTGAAAAAAAGCTGTATGGAGTCAGTGTACTAAAGATTTATTTCCCAGATCATCAGGACTGATAGTTTTTCCTCTTATTCTAATTCGTTTTTTCACATGATAGTTAAAATAAAATTAAGGAGTCAGTTGAAGTCATAGCTTCTGCAATGCTTAATGAGTAAACAAGCCTTTGCCGGGACAACGTTATGTCCCACAAGCAGGAGTGAAATAGTACAACTGAAAGAAGTAAGACCAAGGCAAACTTCTTGTTTTTACTTCTCTTTTCACTCAATGGAATTCTTACAAGAAATATGACATTGAGCTTTGGTTTGACTATCTTGCAAGCAAGCAGCTTTTGTCCTAACCTCAAAAGTGGTGGGGTGAAATAATTCAAAGTGAGCAGAGCAGTGGTCGGGACACTCACACAAATCAAGAAGCCACCGCACAGCACAATGTCCTCCCCTTACATACATACACACTTTCTCTCTCTCTGACTGGTTTGTTCCCTGAGTCAGCAATCTGCCTGAGCTCCAGTTTCTCTGCCCCGCTCTGCCTCTGCCCCCCTGCCTGCAGGACACTATGAGGGCATCATTGTGTGTGTGTGTGGGTTTGTGTGTGTATCACTGTATATCCAAGCCAATACTTGTGTCAGTGTTAGGGTAAGTGTGTGTGTGTGTGTGTGTGTGTGTGTCTGCCTTTGTGTGAGAGCTACTGTTGCATTTACGTGGTCAGGTCCTCTCACCATCTTATGCAATCCGATATTTTTCACTTTGCAAGTAACCCTGGATATTTCTGTCAGCTCCACCGAACCAGCTATTGTACCATAAAAAGATGCAAATCTCCCACTGCCTTTCCCAAAACACTCCCAGCAGATGTAGAGTGTTTTTATCAGTGTGTGTGTGTGTGTGTGTGTGTGTGTGTGAGATCCTCTAGATACTACTAGTTCTGCTAACATGGCCCTAAAATAGCAAAGTGGAGAGGTGTGAAGTAAAAAAGGAAAGGACACTTTAGTAGAGGAGTAACTGACACGGGGTGAGTCACTTTCACGCACACACACATACTGACACACACGTTGTGTTCATCTTGGCACGTAAGCAAAAAGAATACAGAGAAAGAGAGTATGAGAGGAGCTTTGAGTAAGAGAAGGGAAGAATTTGCTGATGTCTTACAGGGTTTCAAATTTATAAGGTAACTTTAAATAAAATAATTCCCCATCGTTGGGATGAAACACCACTTTATTTTCAGTGAGCAAAGGCTCTGTCTGTGAAGCTGACTCTGATTTCTGATTTTACAAATGAGAATAAAATAACTTCAAAAGCCTCAGCGACAGCAAATGGTTTTGACATTGTTGCCTGATGGAGTCAGCATTATCCTCAGTGAACCACAGAAACACAATGTCTCAGAATGCATAATTCAAAGCTCAAGTACAAACGGTGTCTGTTTTTGCATAACCTTCATTTTTGAATGTTTACTCAGCGATAAGAGTAATGTTTTTTCCCACTTCTATTTGCATCCATCTTTAAAGGATGTTGTAGTGCGAATGCAGAAGTGAGAATGGGAGAGAGAGAAGGAGAGAGGAAATGATACCAAGACGTTTGGCCGCCACAGAACCTAATGATCACAAGAGCAAAAAGAGGCCCAAACTAGTGTGGGTGCACATGGAGGCACACGCACACACCATGTGATTTTTGTCGATTAAAGCTGTAAGACTCTTCCTCCCTCCATCCACCCTGGCTGTTTGATCACAATCCCCCTCCCACTCTCTCGCTCCAGTCAAATAGAAACTTCAAAAGATCACACTTACTTGATATAAAATTACTGAAGACCTTTGCTTAAATATTCAACTTTTTTTTTTTTTTTTTTTTAGTTCCGTTTGAGATGTTCTCATTGAATTTCACAATTTCTAAACTATGAATTGATACACATTCTTGGTTTTTTAATTGACGCAGAAGGCTGCCTGTGGTTTCTGTTACCAAATCATACCTCGATCACACTTTTAACATTTTAGGGAAGTTGTGTTTTTTCTTTCTTTTGAAAGAAGTTTGAGTTTACACCCACTGCTTTATTTAAACTGACTGCAGCATTTTAATGCTTCATACTGCATGTTCATCCACTCATATACAGGGCTGTTGAAAATGAATGGTCTCAAAATGTTAATGATGTTTCAAAGGACCATGATTGAGCTTTAGTGCAATTGAATGATCTCATTCAAGAATTTGATGACCTAAGGGTTTTTTTCTCTCTCTCTCTCTTTTTTTAGCCTTCGCCATCCTCACCGGAGAACCTCTGGTCCTATATCACCCTTGCTTTTTCCGTTGTTGTAATTGTCTGTAGATTTATAGAGGTCTAGCCAATGAGGTTTTTCTTCTAGCTACTTCGTTATTAACAAATATGTCTCTTATTCAGAATTAGAAACATAATGTAAATTGAAAGTAAGTTGGTGTGACAAAAGGTTTTGCCCTTAACAGACGTCTTCTATTTCTGTTACACTTTCAAGTTTCAAATGGTCAAATATATTTTAAGAATCAGCCTATGAACCCGATAAATTGAAAAAAAGTGTTTTAATTATGGTTTTATTGTTTAAAGAAAATTTGTTTATTTATTTCAGGATTTTTCTACGTTAACATTTCACCATTCTACAAATAAAACTTTTCAACATGTTTTTAAAGGGTTGGGAGAAACAGAAAAACAAAGAAAATACCCAGGATTTCGGGGAAATATATTGTTTGCAATTACAAAACTAAAGTGTAAATATTTTTATTAAATTTGGTGCAAAACTAAACTGACTTACTATCTTAAGATGTTGCAGGATGATTTGCCATAACAGCCATACCTGGTTGAATTATGGATTCTGCAGCAAAAGTCCACACTGGATTATTTACAAAACCAAAAGGAAGGTTTTGAAGTGACCGACTCAATGGCTGAGTAAATGGCTTTGCTGGAGCATGATGTTAAATAGCATTTTAATGCTACAATCCCTCTAGAGTAGGCAGAAATTCCCCCACTGTATGGTAAAAGAATCATTATCAGTTATTATTAACACTTGATTGTGTTTATCTGCCAATGTTGGCAAAAGCACTTATCAGCTTTACCTTGATATTAACCGAGGTCAAAAACTATAGTCTACATCTTCTATTCAATCTGGTTATTTTTATCTCATATTTTAACATTTTTAGATGATCTATAAAAGTATTGCATATATTAAAGAGCTGAGCAGTGACCCAGTGTTAAAACTCTTGCCTTGCAGCAGTAAAGACTTTGATTTAAATCCTGGGATGGGAGCCCTTTCCCCCAATGCACTTGTATGTCCTACCTGGATACTCCAACCTCCTCCTACAATTCAAAGCAATACATGTTCAGTAATTTGGTCAGTTTGAAAATTCTCAAACTGATTTTGTGCTTGCAAGGTTACTTATTCGGTCTGTCTCTGTTGTTTTTTTCTATGTGATTTTGTGGCTCTGGAACTTTTCGAGGATGCAAATTAAATTAATTTACTGGTAGAGATACTGATACTTAGAGGCCCTATCTATCTGTCTGTCCATCCGCCCGTCCGTCCATCTGTCAATCTCTGTCAAACTGTGAGTTTCTTTTAGGGGGTAATATAAAGCTCTAACAGTCTACTTGAAGGAATTTAAATGAAAGTACTGTTTAATTTTTAATAATCCAATATTAATATGTTAGGCTTAAAAAAATAAGCCGTGATGTTGTTTCGTTGTTTAATACCCTAAACACATTAGAGATAAGCTTCATTCAAACGGTTTATGCTTTGTCATACTGGATGGGAACTGAGGCATGCAGTACAGTAAAGAGAGCATATGACTTATTGCTTAATTGCACAGGACATTCCCATACCTCACACTGGTTTCATAATAAATTCTGAGTGATTTTTTTTTTTGTGGTTTTATGCCTCAAATAAAGCGCATGATGCCACCACACGCACATCATGAACAAGTGATTGCGCCAAAAGGAGAACTGACTTGTTATGACTGAAGTAATGATGAAAATCTCACTGCACCATATTTGAACTACTGGGTGCTAAGGTTCATCTGCCACTACATATAGATATTCTCGTGATTTAGTTTAGTTCCCTCATCTACAGGGGCGAGCGAAGCACACCTTTTCCCATCCTCCCTACAGCCTCTGATTGGCTGCGCCGCAAAGAGGCTGAGGTGTTACAGCAAATAGTACAGGCTTGTGGGCCGGTCCATTCTGCTGCTCAAGGGAGGTTAATGAGTGAAGCCACTGGGCTGTCAGCCAAACCTGAGCAGCAATGCTAAGGCTCCCACAATGAGCCTGACTGTATTACCACTGAGCTCTGTCTAATTATACACTCCAAGCAAGGCAGGGAGAGACACAGAGCATATTAGGCAGGGGGAGAGGAAAAGTTACCAAGTATCCTGGTCTGGCTCATCGAACTCACCAAGAAGGATGATGGTAGACTGATGTTTTAAGGGTGCGATATAAGATTTGTGACAATTGAAAAGAAGGAGAGGAAGATCAGAAAGGCTGAAGGAGAAGCAGCACACTGAGAGGGAGATACATAAAGAGAGAGAGGGAGGGAGAGAGAGAGAGAGAGAGAGAGAGAGAGAGAGACAGCAAAGAGGCGTTTAGAGAGTGAGAAGTAGTAGAGGTAGGAATAGGATGAAGGCAGAGAAGGCTGAGCAGTAGAGAGCAGGAAGAGACTCACAGTGTCAAAACTGGATATTCCTGTGTGCCTGCTGCTGCCTGATCCAATGAGAACAACTCTCAGATACGAGCTACATAAAGGCAACTAGCAAGGTATGTGACCGCAGTGCTTCCTCCTCTCAGTCAGAGTGTGTGTGTCCTTATGTGTGTGTGAAGAAGAGAGCCAACACAGGTGTGTTGGCAACTTTGGATGGCAAGATAAATGGAGTGAGAAGACTGATTAAGGAGTTTAAGTTTTTGGCTCTGTGAGGGAGGGAGGTCAGCCAGACATGAAAGAAGATAAATATTACCAGTGAATTAAAGTTATATGTGTGTTTTTTTAAGACAAAAAACAAAGAGTAGATGATTGAACTGGAGGTAGATTGTGACTGATTGGAAGAGTGTGAGGTTTATCTCTCTGGCTGACTGCAGATCAGGGCTTTCAGAATTAGAGCAGTGGGCTTAAATAGCCCTGGTCCAGAGATAGCCAGGGGCCCTCCAGGAGCCCGCTTAAATTGGGAAGGATGGAGATGAGACTGAAAAGGGTGGGGTTCGTCCAGTTAATGTTTGGGTGGGGGGGGATGGGCGGGGGCTGGGGAGGGGGGTTTGGATGTCTGAATAAAAGGAAAGTATGATCTACAGATGTTGGCATCAGATCTCTTAGGAATGTCATGCAATAAAGGGACAATATGCAGGTGTGCAGGTGCATTAGTTATAATCTATAAACATTTATTAGAAGAACATGCGATGGTAGTCTTTTAATTCTCTTACCTGACTTTTGAAACTTTCCCTCATTTATCTGTAAAAAGATCAGAGCAGTATTTTGTACTCTCTGTCACAAACAGTGAACTGATCCTTCTTTTTTATTAATCCTCCTCGCACCCTAGGAGTGCGGTTATGATTTCTATACAGTAGGTGTTGTCATTTTGTTGCCCCGTTTGCAAATATTCTGCATAGAGGAAAATTTACCAAGTTCCAGCAGTCCAAGATGTCCTTCAAGCAAGACATACAGCATTTGTCATTGCCAGCTTAATTCGCTTATTTCAATTACTAGGATGATCTGCTGGAGTCAACAGGAAGTCTTAGGTCTCTGTGTTACTGCTTCCTCTAATGCCTACTTTGAAGGAACTGTTACAAAGTGAGTTAATGTGAGTATGTACTTTTGCTTGTAATCTTTGATTTGTCATTCAGTGCGTGTAGCTGCAAGGAGTCCCTCATGATTGTGAGTCTAGATTCACTCTGCCTAATTTAGAAGCTATCTTTATGTTTTAATATTGTATTTGATTGCTAGTTATTAGAAGAAAGCCAGAGGGTTTATATTGTGTATAGCATGGTCTTGAATTGCATTTCGTTTCACTTAATATGCTGTGATTATTTTACAGTATGGGAACAAAAGCATAAACAATTAAATGGGCTGAATGAAAAGTTTGACCCATGTTTCTTGTGTCACCCCGATGAGAAGAACAGGCCTCTTGTGGGAAAAGGTTGAGTGGCTGCTGGCCCTTTAAGAGGTCTATTTTTACAGGGGCACACTCATCCATGGAGTGAGGCAGAAGCACATGGAGACTGTATCTGAGGACCACAGCTTCGATACTGAGTAACTGAGGGGGAATCCAAATATTACTCCTTTCACACAAACTCCAAAGATCAAAATGATCAAATCTGATAGTTATTTTTTTTTTTATCTAACTGCTGAAGAGAATCAGCCCTTTTTCACAAGGATTCGTCTGAAGTCTAAAAGTGATGAGTGGGTGCATGCAGTACACAAATCCTTTCCCCACATTTCCTTTTCCTACATTCCCACATATTTGTTTTGATATGGAGCTAGATTAAGAGAACTGGAAACATGCATGGCCTTTAAAAAAGCCCCATTAAATATACACTTTAGTTCGCTGAGATCCCCACGCTCCTTGAAAGAAAGCAAACAAAGGTGCACATTTTTTCTCATACACCCATACGTGCAATCAGAGGTGAATGCAGTTCTATTCACCCACACAAAAAAAAAAAAAAATACCGATACATCCTCAATATCTGGACCTAAAATAATATTCTCCTTATGCAATCTGCATGTTATATAATGCATGGCCTGTCATTATCACAGCGCTCCTTCACGCCCTGCTGTGCCTCTCCACCTACAACACCACGCAGACAGGCAGACACACACACACACCCAACATCTTGTGTTAGCAGTCATATACTCTACTCTAGCACTCTCACCCACGCTGAGTGTAGGCTCTCAAACAGCCACCCTGATAAGTGAGAGGGAAAGACGGAGAGGGAGACTGAGAGTGGGTGGGGTGGGGAGGTTGAAAGTGAAACACATAGAAAGGGAAAACTATAGACTGAAGTGTACATTCATGCTAAGACGATGCATTTGCATGACTGCAAAAATCTGTCCTTCTTGTGTCTGTGATGTTTATTAGGAAGGTGTTCAAACTCCAAATTAGATATGAAGGCCCCTACAGTAGGAGCAACAGCTTGGCAAACATTTGACCATATCAAAATGTGAAATGATCAACAAGGGTTACATTTCTTAACAGCTTTGTTCACTATTCAGAAATCCATGAAACTCTCACCACCTCTTTGCAAACAGAGCAATGGATAATCCCCCTCTTTGTCACTCTATAGTCACACCTACAGAATAGGGCGTGCTTTTACATGCCTTTGCCTGTCCTCCATCTTATCTACTAACAGAAATGAATCATATTTTTTCTCTATTTTGGTTCCAGTTGGAGTGTTTCAATAAGTCACCCATTGGGATATAAACTAATATAAGCATTTATATATTAACGTTCTGACCACAAATATGAATGTCTCTTATTTGGAATCAGTGTGACAGACAAACATTAAATAAATAATACTTGGAACAAGAAGACAAGTTATTTATCTATTTCAAAATTTAAAATGTGCTTTTGACTGCAGTTGTGTTCTACCCCATTGAGAAAATAAGTTCTGGTAAAATCAACGGTTCCTGGTTATTTTCCTTTTCCCTATAGACAAGTTTTATTGCAGATGTTAGATTTATGTATGAATGTTTGGCTTTTCTAACATACAGTGTGAGCATGATTTGTCCTGAAACATTTTATTGCAGCACAGACTGTATGTTTCAGATTGTTGTTCTCCTTAAAGGTGGATGGCAACCTAGGTCAGCAGCATCTCACCAATTATCAGCCAGAATTGCTTTTCATTGAGCTCAATTCAACGTCATATCAGCTCTGATCAGCTTCTCCTACTGAACTGAGGTATCATTATGGCACAGTGGTCTCAGACTGCAGGCCTCAGGAACTACTGATCTGCATCTTCAAGATGTCTCTGCTTTAACCTCCCAACTAAAATGTTTTACTCATTTACAGACCTCTGTATTGCCAACTGTGTCTCAGTTAAGTTTGGGAACACTGTAATTAATGCTTAATTTTACAGTCTGAGCTAATGAACTGTTCAAAGGGACGTGGCTTGCTTTTTGCATGTATGCAAACAAATGCACCATGAGTACCTTTTTCCAGATATCATTTGTCACTCATATGACTTGTAACATGCTTTCAAATCTTGTTGCCTTTTTTTTTTAGCTAATGTGTTTTTTTTATAACCATCTCCATAAAGGCCAGATGTGTGAAAACCACAACATTGGCTTTCAGATTTTTATTTGTTAAAAAAATAAACGAAAAACAATTTCTTTTTCTATCCATTTCATAAAATTTGCCTAACCTGTCACATTACATCACAATGCGATACATTAAACATTCAGGCTGCAATTTAAAAAAAAAAAAATGTAAAAAAAAAAAAAAAAATAAAAATAAAAAAGTTTAGGTGAATTTAGTAAACGTGTAGAAAATTTATAAGTTTATAAGTATGTACATTTTTCCCACACTTGGCAAACTGTTGATTTCTGTCTATTTCTAAGCTGTCAAAAGCCTCCAAGAAGTCACCTATTATTACTGGCTTACTGGCATATTTTTCAGCAACAAAAAAGCTGTTTCACATGGCATGGTTCCAAGAAAAAAAATGTAAAAAAGAGAAAACGGGGCGAGCTTCGGTGGCCTGATTCGGATTCGAATCTGACCTGTGGTCCTTTGCTGCTTGTCTCTTCCCCTCTCTCATACCCCCTTTCGTGTCAGCCTACTGTCGAAAAAAAAGAGCCACTAGTGCAATTAAAACTACAAAAAAAGAAAAAAAACTTTTAAAAACAGCTTCCCTGTGTTATACTTAAACAGGTAAAAGCACAGAAACCATCAAAAATTAATATTAAAATACCACTACAATGGTATACATACAGTGAAAGATATGGGTTGAAACTGTGCAGTTATGTTTGTGTGTGAATTATGTACTTTCTGTTTGACTCCTACTGCTGTTTCTGAGACAGAGAAGTCTTATTTGCTGTTTCACAAAACCTGCTTTTTAGGATGAAGAGAGTGATGGGTTCAACATGTTTCAAGAGGTGGCATAGCTCTGAGTTATGTGTGCTTGTGGCCTAAATTTACATATAGAAAATCCTTGCTATTCTATTCTATTCTAATAAAAAATTAACAAATTAAGAATGTAATAAACAAAAACATAAATGCAAAAATATGCAAATAATAAAATATGTATGTACATCTGCAGCCATAAAAACAAAAATGACTGATTTTGTATTTGGAATTGTATTAACGCATTTTACAATTTAGTCCTCCTAGATGTGGGCTCCCCCAGCTGATCTGATATCAGAACAGGCTTAGGCTCTGAGCCAAGGAGCCAGGAGTGGGATGAATAATCCCAAACAGAAGCCAGTGTTTGAACACAGCTGACACTGTGCCAGACTACTTAAATGTGACAAACACACCTGTCGTTCAAGTTCCCTCACAGGGGCAGGGTGTTTCGTAGCAGGCGTTTCGACTCACTGCATGTGCAAAATAAATGTGAGCAGCTAAATTTGCACTTCTGGTCATTTGCAAATTGACCAGAAGCCATGTATGTGTTGTCAGTTACCTGACCACATACTTTGCTGCTTTTCTTGAAATGGATAGCTTTTTTTCTTGGTCTTGACCTAAGTGCATGATGGAGCTGAGTGCTCTCCTCCCCCACAACTACAATGAAGGTCAACAACCTTTAAACCCTGCCACCCACAACTTACACCCACT